AGACGCTTCTTTAACGATAGTACCATCATAAAACATTATCTTAAAGTCACTCCTTGTTAGTTTAGTGAATCCCGAATTCTCCACAACTCTGAAATTCATAATAGTGTAGAATTCATCTTCTTCAATAAACGTTGAATAATGAGAAGTCAACGGCGAACAAATAAGCGCTTCGATCTGATTACCCTGCATCACAAAACCAAAATCACAAAAGTCGGGAAACCGCAAACATCCATAACAACAAAGGCTAATACATATCTAAAGAAAAGCCAAATCTTATTTCGAACCAATACCTTATCATCAACCAGAAGTAACCCTAGCCCACCCTTTGATATATAGTCATCGGTGTGGAAGCGACGCAAAACCTTAACGTGAACATGCCATCCAACTATTGCAGGGTTCAACCGAGAGAAATCGTTGTAACGTTCAATAGAAGACGATGTGAACCGAGAAGACATATCTGCTTCTATGCGAAAATTCGTTATGCGGAGTAAGATAATGGTCTGTCCACAAGAACGTTTAACAACTAAGTATATATAGGGAACTAACCTAGACAAGGAAACGTCGCAGCCCTTTTGTTTTTATGTTCGATTTTCCTTCCTTTGTCACGACACGTACCGTCGCAACCCTTTTTTTGTTTAATAACATTTTGCGTGACATTTTCCATTTTATTTTCTTAGCATTTTTATTTAAAGATGGCAATATCCGATGGAATTTCCTTTTATTTAAAACCCAAAATGTATTATAGAAAATAAAATTAAAACAAAAAAATTGTCGTAAGCTGAAAGCCCAAAACAGGTAGTAAAAGGAGAGGAAAATCCTAGAATCAAACTAACGAATGTTCTGGAATACTTCGTGATAAACAACATTTTTAGTAGTCTTTTGAGGTTGTCCCCTATCATCTGTTATCAGTATCTTGAGGCCTCTCCTGGATGTGACTCTCGAAAGTGCAACGTACAATTGCCCGTGCGAAAAGACAGGCTTAGGTAGATACAAACCTACATTAGTCAAAGTCTGACCTTGACTTTTATTAATCGTCATTGCGAAAGCAACCGCAATCGGGAACTGACAACGTTTCATTCTAAATGGGAACCTCGTCTCGGTGGGACTCAAGTACATTTTAGGAATCACAACTATGTCTCCAACTCTCGTACCAGTAATAATTCTAGCTTCTATAACCTGATTCGCTAACTGAGTCACTTGTAATCTTGTACCATTACAAAGTCCATTCTTAGGATCAATATTCCGTAGAACCATGATTGGAACTCCGACTTTCAATACCAGCCTGTGATTTGGCAACCCCGAGACTTTGATGCTGTTTAAAAACTCTGGTGTATAAACCATATTATCTCTTTTGTCCGCATCCGATAATTCAATACTATCGCAACTAAGATAGACTCTCTCTTCACCTAACAACCCCGGGGCGTCAACATGAATGAAAATTAAAATAATAAACAACATTAAATCCACTATCAAACTAAAATAATAAACAACAGTAAACATACTCTAAATCAATATATAAAAGTTTTAACATTAATTTTTTACCTTCCATGTGTGATAGCGCATAGTCGTTGATCACGCACACGTCATTATTTCTCGGAGTAAGAATAGCCCTTTCTTGGAAAAAAGAAAGTTCCTTATCCTTGACCAACGTTGACCCATAAACATTATGTACGATGGCTTTGATAGGATCACCACATTTAGAAATCAGCAAATCATCAGGAATCTCCACATCAGCATCGCCATCGTCTGTAACGTTGATTGTACCATCTCCTATGCCAAGAATCCATTTTGCAAAATCTCTGAGTTCCTGTGCAGCATCATCCGAATTACCATCTAAAAGTCTCATGTTCTTGGTTAGCCTCAACAGTCTGCAACTTTCCCAGATATACGACGAATTAATAGTGGCCAAAACGGTTTCCTCTCTACCTGCACCACTGATTACTGGCAATATTTGTCTAAAATCTCCTCCAAAGACAATTGTTTTACCGCCGAACGGCCGATCAGTATTACATCTCATAACATCCCGAATACTACGATCCAACGTCTCAAAACAATGTCTGCTCATCATAGGAGCCTCATCCCATACAATTAAGCTAGCCTGTTTTACCAACTCACCGAGATGGGATGATGGTTTCATCGCACACATACTAAATTCATCAGCCGTTAGAGGTATCGAAAATCTTGAATGTGCAGTTCTACCTCCAGGCATCAGCAAAGAGGCTATCCCGCTCGATGCTACATTAAGAACAATAAGTCCCATAGACCTTAAAGCAGCCGATAAAATACTCCAGACGTACGTTTTGCCTGTGCCCCCGTATCCATATAGAAAAAAGACACCGCCTTTTTTATCTAAAACTGCCTGCATCACTTCATCGTAAACTATTTTTTGTTCATCTGTTATCGTGGCTAGGAGTCTCACGTGTTCTTTCGCTTCTTTTTCCTGGTTATAACCAAGCTCATCCAACAACAGCCGATTTGTACTCGTATCAAGAGATATATCATCCGGCTGCGGAAATCCTTCGATAGTAGACAGAGTCTTCCCGTTATCCCGCAGCAAGAGTTCAATAGACGCCAACGTGAAATTTTTTATTTGTTTATCAGAAAGCGTCAAAGCTGCAAACCACACGAAACATGCTATTATTACTATTCAATTAATAAGACAGTTATATATATTTCATAAACAATAGAGATGATCCACCTACCCGGATTCCTCGACACTTTTCTACGTTCGAATAAGATACCTTCCGATAGTAGATCACAAGTCTCTTCCCAAACTCGCAAAGGATTTACTATATCTCCGGCGACGATCATCATCACAAATAATTTTCGCAAGGGTAAACCTTTCACGAAATAACTCGCTTCTTTTATAGCATCTATAAATATTCGGTCGTCTGCGAGCAACCCCAGTGCATTGCAAGCATCAACAAACTCAGGATATATAATGCCATTTACCGTTTTGATGTCATCGTAAGATGTAGGACCTGTCACAGAATTTAACAGGAGCCTTAGATAATACTTGGCTCCAAGGGAAGGAGAGACATACATAATCCTTCCTATCGAGAATCCTTTTACTCGGGGTTTCCAGACACGCTCTCTGCTTTTCCAAACAAACTTAGATGGAAAATCCGCATATGTCAATTCTCTGGCTTCTGGATACTCTTTGTTACATTCCATCCAAGCCAAGAACATTGTACGACCGATAGATTTACGACTTATAACCTCATCAACAGGATCATTCGGATCGAAAACAATAACCTCTTCACCAGGAAGATGAAATGTAAGTTTTTCTACTGGTGTAGACCGATAATGTGTAGCAAAAGCTAATATTCTCCAAGTGGCCTCGCATGCAGATATATACCTATAAACGAAACGACATAAAAAATAATGAGAATGAGGCAATAATTTCAAAACTCCCAACAACAGTATTTAGTCTAAGACGATAACATAACATTTTATAAACAATTAGTCTCATTTGGCACCTGCATGTATAATACTGCTTTATTTCGTCATGGACTTCCTCTTCTTGACCATCCTTTTGTATTTTTGCTCTGATATAATCGGGTCCTTTGTGGATATACTTGAAGAGATATTTGATAGATCGTAATTGATTGCACCACTCGACATTAATATGAGCACGATACCTTTTCGATAAATAAGCGTTATATGGAACGATGTACCTATTATCGACATTAAATTTTTGCTTCACGATGAATTTGCCATCCGCTCGCCGTCTATAAATAGGATACCCCTCGTCATCAACCTTAGTCTGATCACTGTAAGGCCTAGGGTAGTATTTGGTGCATCTGCCTTTTTGCATACACGGACAGCCGGGATTAACAACTCCGCACGGACCATGCACCATCATATCTGCTACAACTTCATACAAAAACGGCTCTAACTCTGGATCAGGAATTTCTGCACTAATATGTTTATCAATATCATCAGTAGTTGGAAGTTTTGATCCTGGAGCTAGGAACAGGACCATATGTGCGTGTGGTAGACCCCTTTTTTGGAACTCAATCGTGTATAAAACTGTAAAATATACAAGAAATTACAGAATAAGAGGTTAAAAATTTAAGATTCTAAAATTCTATATATATAATAATAACACATAATTTATGCGAGACACAAATATCGCTATAAAAGTTTGGTCAATCTTACCAGAAGAGACAGTTCCCAGCTTCTTATTATGGGTAAGATCATGAATGAGATTATCGAGTTTCAGCTTAAAAAGCCTACAACAGATGTCGGGCCTATCCTCGGGTTTTAAGTTGTATTTTTCCAGATACCTAGTAATCTCGGGCCACGCAGGATTACAAGTTATAGTGATAAATAGATCAGGAAAGCCATAATACTTGCAAGTAGCCATCACATCAAGATAATGCTGCATCTTATACCTAGGCCCTCCGGTGAAAGAAGATGGTATCATAACTTTATTACCTTCTCTGGAAAGATTTTTATTTCCTTTCTTAGAAACTTTAAGAATCTGCGAATAGCTTTCACAGCGGAGATTTTTCTGGTTAAAAAACAAATAACGAAGCCTGTTGCTTTCGATCATCGTATACGCATCAACCAGGAACTGCTGATATAATCTCCTGGACATAACAATAGTAGGAGATTCACCTCGTCTCGATTGAATGCGATACGCAAAGAATTCTCTCATCGTCACTTTTGTTCTTTTTAGACCGCCTTTATCGATGAATCCAATGTCGATACCTAACCTAAATCCATCCTCGCCGTAAGGAAAAAGCAAAGGATACTGTAGAGGGAGGTAGGATGGGTGCAGCTCACTTATACGCTGAAACCCTCCAGAATTAGCCTGAAGCACTACATCACGCGGTTTAGGGTTTATATCTCCCACGATAAGCCAAGCAACCTCGTCAGTCGTAGGTATATTTTGGACTCTACCGTCACTATCTCGATGATTTTTCAAAATCAACTTAAAGCCGCTGGTATCTTCACATTGTGCTAATCTATCTCTAGCTGATCTAAACGTGTGGGTTGTTAGCATCTAACATATCCTATAAAGTCTTAACGATACTCTTCTTTATTTGCTTACCCGGTCCTTTCTCGCTAAAACAATTAAAAACAACAAAAAACGGAAATTAATTCGTGGACATAATATAAAAAATATATTACAATAAACAACTCACCCCATAACACCCATCCTATTCGAGACTTCGTTTACGGTATCATGAATATAGAGCTGCGAGAAAGCAGGACTTTTGGAAGGGCCAGGCAAAAGTTCACCGATGCGATGATAATTTTGACCCTGCATGCGAAACACATACGGTGCATTCCCATGGTTCACGGAATTATCAATTTGACCACCAAGCGACGTGAATGAGAACATCATATTGTATGCTCTAATTAAAGCACGGAAATTTTTGCTTGTCTCATCCTTGCCATACAACATCGACATAAGCACCGGTGGAGGATTTTTTAGTTTAGGCAGCTCCACTTTACCCTTCATGCAACACATAGAAAATATAGGCCTATTTTTAGCTCCACGTTTGTTAATACGCTCGCCAAACCACATATAAGCACCGCAATTTTGACAGGTATAAAACGGATCTCCATCATCAAAATAACCTGACACAAGAAGCACTCATGTACACAATAATATCAATTATATTTTTTAAAAAATTATAAAAAAAACAACCATAGTAAGTACCGTTTTCTGTTAATCCAGGTTTCACATTTATGATCGGTATGGATCCAAACCCTTCCTGTTCCATAATACACTCATCGGCGTTATCGAGATGTTCAACAAAATCATAATCCATTGCATTATCGTCGTCTGTTTGGTCCTCCCTATCACCATGATCAGAATCCGAATCGGTTGCGAGGAAATGCACGTAATCATCTTCGTAAATCGGCAACACCAACCCTTATATATAACATTTTTTTATTTGTTAATCACACGTACAATTTCGAGAATAAAAACTTAATATAAAAGGCTATCGTACCGGTTTCTGGTGGTCTTGTCCTCGCTTTTATCCGTCTTGATTTAAGTATTGCTACACGGCGCGCTCTCGCACGACAACAAACATCCCTAGGAGGTCGTGAATTCAATAACGCACGTAATTCATCAGATATCATGTTTTCATATGCCGCGATAACACGTGTTCGATTAATCGACTCCATGCCTAGAAATTATGAATATATATTAATCACAACGGAAAATATAATATGTCACTACAACTTAATTACGCGTGTGTGGGCGTTTTTATTAATTAAATTAATAAATTTTTTAAAGATAATAGACTTAACCCGATAATCTATTACGGAAGGCAGTCCTTCGTGCTCTGAGTTTCTCCATACGATAATTTCTTGCCTTTTTCGCACCATCCTTGGGTACATCGAGCAAATAGTCGAAGTTGTTATTATAAACACGGCGATGTATACGTCGATGATCACCTTTGGACGGACATAATGAAAACAAATCAGAGTGATAGACAAGAATGTTTTATAAAAAAGGATTATGGTTATACGACAATATAAAATATATAACGTATGCAAGCTGTGCGATCTTATTTCTGACCTCTACCACGTTTCATTGTCTCCAAAACCTAGAAGATCGTGAACATAGAGGAAACCAACGGAAAATTATATATAACAATAATCTACTATGGTATTCTTTAATAGAACAACTGGAAATATTATATTTTAATATTGCGATATATATTACTAATCAATATATTTTCTAGATATATTCAAATTTTACTTTTTATTCTGATTGTATCCAAAAAAAAGAAGGAATTTTATAAAATATTTACTTTAACAGCAAACGCATTTGGTAATACCCATACATAACTTTGAGAGAAGATGAAAATCTCACGGAAATGAATATAAAAAGTAAACTGAAAACTGGAAATATTATATTTTAATGATATGTTATATAGTATTAATCATATATGTGATTCGAGCACAACGAATTTTACTTTTTAAATTAATCTCAACTCATAAATACAAGTTATAATGACAGAAAGTTAATTTTCCATGGCTTGTTAAACCTCATAATTATGGTCATAAAATATCACTTGGAGATAAAATGAAATATCACTTGGAGATAAAATGAATAGATAACATAACCGTGAGATCTGTATAAAATCATAAGAAACCATATAGCAAATTAAAGAAGCTACTCAACATACAGCAGCTATCATGCATCTCACATTATAGGACGTTGTTTCATCTAGCATAAGTTGTTTGACGGTCAACGAAGAAGAAACCATGTGTTTTAACTATCGCGTTTTATGGTGCTTAAAACTCATTGCGTAATTATAAAGATACACCGTCAATAAAAAAAAAAAAAGTTAAGAGAACGCAATACAGGAATAATAAAATAAAATCTTCATTGCAGCGTTAATAGTTCAAAACACCGTCTATAAAAAAATATTCTATTATTTTGCCGAAACAAATATAATAGTATAGAGAGAACCAAGCAGAAACATAGTTTATAAAACCCTAAAATAAACAGAAATAAATCAAAACGATGCAAACAATCTAATCTATCTTAAGATTGTTAAACTGATCACGCATCTTATATTCCAACGAAGGATCACATGTAGGACCACCAGCTAAAGCGACTCTCTTCCGTAATTCCGCATAGACATTGAACGTAGAGTTTTCCTTACGCATAAATGTCTCAAAGTTTTGGATTTCATTGTAGGCATACTCCGGCTCTAGAACAAAATAATAAAACATTATCCATCTGACGATATTTGTAAATATTGGCAAAAACTAACGGTGTACATTTACCATGATCGTTAAAAATAATTTGTTGTGGAAACAACACATCTTTAAACAATACATCCCAGGTAGCATCCCAGACCGACAACGGATCTGCCTCGCAGAAAACATCCATCAGCATAACAAATAAACCACGCAATCTATCGACCGACAACACCCACGAAGCCGCTTGTTGGATAGCTACGATACATTCATCCGTCTGGCTAATATGGGTTGAGTTAGTGTTTTGCTTGTTAACCTGTCCGATCAAAACATTCACATATTAATAATCAATCAACATGATTGTTATTTTCGGAAAGAGAAAGCCAATTTAACGTAAAACCAATAAACTATATCAGACCAACATCAAGTAAAAATACTAACGACTACCTCCATCTTTTCAACACGAGCGTTCGCAATGATTAACACAAGAATGCATGTATTATTTATAGACGTATATATAAGCTAGGTATTAGGGTACCCAATAAGACCTTTATTTTTACGTAAAATATTGAGCGACTTAAAACCAAGGAAAATAATATTTTCTATTATGGATAATAACAAACATACCACTATATTAATAGGAGATATGATCAAATCTATCAATACCTAAAATGTTAACTCTAACATATTGTTACACAAACAGTAAACTTAAAAAGAAACATTCTAATTCCGTCGAATATTTAATATTTTAGAATTGTTAATGTTACATATCTCAATACAACAGAACTACCAATTTATGCGTTGCTCAGAGAAACGGCCGGGATATCAACCTACGTTAGTAGACCATATAAGCATAATATGAAACGTGCAAATATATAGAGCTCGTGAATGCTCACATAACCCTAACTAATTATAAATCAGCATGCTAAATCAGATACCAAATATATCACAAATAACGTGAAACTGTTATATACGACATAAAACGAAATCCAATATTTTATAATAATACATATATAATAATATCCACGTCTTGTTAAACACATGTTACCTACATGCGACTCTTAATCTATAACAATATTTCTAAGTGAATACATTGGCGTCAAACAATAACACCTAACACATATCATTAGTATAACAAAAAATGCATGTATTAGTTGCGTATAGAATTTATTCAGCCCTAGCGAAAACACTTGCACGTGTATAAGCAGAAACGTCGCGTTTGTCGTTTGCCAAACAACATCATACCGATCATAGAAAACAAAAAACGAACAATATCTAAATATGACACTCGGGAAGGTATAAAAAAAACAAAAAAACAAATAACGAAAACACCAAATAACATCCAGACTCAGTCACAACAAAAAACGAACATAAAGTCGCACAATTTATTGTAAAGTCTGCTATGATATTTAAATATAAATAAAACCGCTAAATCTAGATATATAAAAAAAACCAAATTCTTCTTTAAGTTGTGGCAAAACTCTCTTCTTTCTTGCCCTCGATTTTGATTTTCTTCGCAGGAGGTTTCGGATTCTCGACGGATACACCGCCACGGCGAACACTGGCCTCCTTTGTAATAGGCGTTACGGGCAAAGGCACCAAAACCTTAGAAACACCAATATTAAGTATATATAAAGCAAAACACCGAATATTTAGTAAACTTAACACATATATACAGTTTCATATAAACAGAACAACCCAAGCTACAAAACACGAACCTCGGAGTCTAGACCATCAGAATAGTCTTTAATCAGCTCATCATCATCAGAAAATAACTGTACCACGTAATGCGACCGATCCGATTTCAGATTATCGCCACCTATACTCACTTTAAAAAGAAACCGCCTCCCGACCAATGCCCCAATCTCCGAGGGAAGTATAGAGGGGTCATTCTATCATTAAACCATGCAAATAGATTAAACATACGAACAAATAATCGTTAAAAATATCAAAAACAACATAAGAAACAATAGCAAAAGCGAATCCATTACCTCAGAAACTGCATTATAGAGCTCCTGTGCAGTTCTACGAAGGAGGGTACTACCCATTGCATCAAACAACAAAAACCTTGCCTTGTAGTTAGTTGCATCAGAAACCTCCAGAACCAATCGGTACCTAAAACAAACAGTTATTCCAGAACAAATAATGAACAACCGAGCTCTAAAACTACACACACCAACATAGTATGACGGTATTAACAAGCACAAGACGACATAAACAATGCATTCAAAAGACACGATCACCTGAACACTACCGCAGATACATCCTTGTCACAAACGCCGCAATAGTAAAGAGGTGGTTTTCCATCATCACCAGAATTTTCTGGATAAGGCTCGACACTCTTATTACACATCTTACACGAAACGTAATACCATTTTGACGTTCGCTCGACGGATCCAACAGTGACCATGGTCACACACATACCCTCCTATAGATTTTAGAGGTCAGACTTAAAATACCAACCAGTTCTAATTAACAAACAAATTTTTTTTTTACCCTTTAAAACGCATGAATATAAAGAATAACGCATAAATTTATGGTGTCTACCTCTAACGCCTCGACTATATCTCGGACAGTTCGTTTATGATTCTTCACCAAGAATTGATCACGTATCGATACAGTTGATCCAGCAAACAATTCACTATTATCATGATTAGTCAAGACCACGCCATCGGTTGGTAGCCTACAAAAAAAATTCTATATTAATATCTATACAGACATATACAATAACACAAAACATAATAAATAAACAATATTATGTCTATTACCCTGATCTGAACTCATCAACAAAAACGCCTGGAGGATCGAGTAATACACGTGTTGCGCCCATAGCATTAGATATAGTCCAATTACCTAAATAAGTTAACAATTAAAATTAGAACAGTCATCGGAATATTTGAAGTTTATTCGACCAACATATATACCTTTCCACTCCTTAACCTGAGCACACCTAATCACACAAACAACAGCCGCTGGATTTGCTTCAGTATAAACCTTAACTTGCTTAGCAAAATCCGCCCATAGAGTACATATTAACCGTACGTTCCTATTTACGTGATAAACACGTCAAAAAACGAAGCATACAGAAAACCAAACTCTTATAATGACTAAGCATAATTAACATACCCACGATCACGCAACTCGACGTCGAGCTTTGGAGTACTCTTTCCTCTGATTTTTATATCCTCTATCGGTCCAACGTTGACAATCTGACCAATAACATCTACAACAATACGTATCGTTATTTAGTTTGACAGCGATAAAGATAAACAAATATCAAACTAATTAAGATATTTTGTTTAAACCAGACCTACCAACGAAAACACGGGTGTCTCGTGAACCATTTAAAACATCACCAAATTCCACAAAATACTTCTCAGGGACTTCCTTTGGAAAATCATCACATGGTTTGACCTGGGTTGTTCGGTAAAACAAAATCTTGAAAGAAAGACTGTTGCTCTTATAATCGCCAGAGTACTTGATGAGCTTGAAAGGATTCAAGGTAACGACATCACCTTCTTTCAGGACACTGTCGAACTTTTTGATATTTTTGTCTTCAACAGTTGCATGGATTCTTGAACCCTACTTAAAACCAAAAAGAGAATATGCTTAGCATACTTATACGATACAAAAACAAAGCAAACACATGATATAGAAGACATAATCTCAAATAATAATCAAATCATAACCTTTTCATCCACCAAAACCATCTCGATTGTATTGCCCGCATCTCTCTGATACGCCTTCCACAGCCTCAAGATTAACACCTTAATCTTATTCTGATCGTGAATAGGATTGATATCATCGATGAAAGTTAGTGAATTTTTGCTTTTTCTGCTTGACGACATTTTTTAACGCACAAAAGTATAATATCTTAATAGATTTCGTTAATGTTGAAAGCGAGTAGTAGATCCTATATATAGCCATAAAATGTTTAGGTTTTAACCGACCTTTTCGACTAATATAGAATAAAATTTAATAATTATGGATATTAACAAAATCGAATTAAGAGATAAAAGTAAATCTTCGATATTAGCATATAAAATTTTCTGGAAATATTATAGCTTTACCAAATAGTTATTATAGATATTTTCGAATCGAATGCGTAGATAAAAACCGCAATATTTACTTTTATCGTCTCGCTAAATCATAGATTAAGCATGTTTACATTTTTGTGACAAATCCATATTTTTATTTTCTGTAAACAAAGTCGATAAGAGTAAACTTTCAATGGAATCCAATTACAAAAATATTTATGTATTATGTTATTAATTTAAACTAACGAAGGTGTAAGTCCTCCTTCACTTTCCAGTTTTATATAACGCATACACTTTGAAGCCTATGACTAAAGAAAAGAATCCTTCAATATTGTTCGCAGCCTCAACGAAATGATCAATTTAACATATATATAAAAGATTATTTTAAGCCCCAACGAAATAACAAATTCGATGTAAATTTAAATGTTCTCGCTGACGAACGTATCACCGTAAATATATGATCCATAATAAGAACGTAACTATAGAATAAAAAATAAACAAAACTAAGGGATAATTGTGATCCGCATAATAGAGGTATCGCTGAAACAACTCTGTTAAAACGTAACGGAAATTGAAACATAATAACTTTAACATCCACCACCGGAGACTATAAATCCTTCCTTCTTCTTCAAGATACCCAACTACATGTTTTTCTTGACCCTTCACAATAACACCGAAGCGTAGGAATTAACAATATTATAGTCCAGACACCCAACATCATAAATCTAATTATACGGAAAACTAAACTTACAATTCATCAAAGCATTCCACTCCACGGATATCTGGATTAATCTCAATACGCGTACAATCTGTAGCATGTATGGCCACATCACCTGCACTCGATCAAGTAGCCGATATTTTCACCAAGCCTCTCAAGCGCGAAGATTTTATCAAGATGAGGAGTTTGCTTGGAGTAGCAAAATCAAGTTTAAGAGGGGGTGTTGAAAGTTAAACTTGATTTTGAATCAAGTTTAATTATTAGGTCAATTACCCAATAATCATTTGATGGGCCAAATCCAAGTTCTAGAGTTTTCTCTAGAAATATCATCATCTCACCTCCTTAAAAAATTCTAGAAATTCTCTAGAACCATCTCCACCTCCTTAAACATAAAAATCGAGATAATTGTATTATTATAATCTAGATATTATGATGGAATAATCTAGATTTAGGATTAAAATATGGGATTATTGTCTAAAATACCCTTTTTTTGAAAAACTTATGAAAATGTCCTTTTTTGAATAGTTTACGGATTTTGCCCTTTTTAACATTTAAAAATGTACGTATTTATGATTTTTTTTTTGCAAAAATACGTACATTATACCAAATACTAAACCCTAAGAACAAACGGAACCGACTAAACCCAAACATAACGAATGAAACGCATGTTAAATCATATTTTTGGAGCCTAAAAAAGGACAAAATCCACAAACTATTCAAAAAAGGGCAAAATCCATAAATGCCATTATAAAAAAGGGCAAAATCCGTAATTAATTCTTAAAATATTTTAGATATTTTGGCTATAAATACCTCCTCCCTCTCTCATTTGTTGTAAGGTTATGAAGTTGTCTTCAAGTTAAAATCAAAGTAATAAAAGTTCTATTTTCTAAAACTCTCTCTCAAATACTTAAACACTTTCTCCATTACCTCTAAAAGAATTTTACTCTAACAATATGCTCGTAATCAATTGTAAAGCTTAGTGAAGCTCGTACATTACAAACTTAACCAAACTTAAATCAAAATTAAGACTGAAAGAAGCAGACTATAAACCGCATTACACTCAATACCTTAGTCACCAGCTGAATGAATCCTTAGTCTTAGCAATTTTGTTTTTGTATGAACTCTCAATTTCTTCATGTAGACTATTGCATTAACATATTATCACTCTTCCAACAACTACATCACAACCGTTTTACATAGTTTTCAATATGATCAAGCACCAATCCAAAACCGTGGGTAAAAGTAGAGCAATGAGAGATTTACCTTGCAGGATTTTAGTAACCGTTTTAGGAAAGAGGATCTGGAGAAGTTGATTGATTTCCCAAGTAAACTACTATCTGAATCTGCAGGTGTTAAATAACTGTAATGATTTATGCTAGTAAAGTCTAACCCAAAATAATTCAACACTGATAGGATTAGAGAACGTACTATCATCATCCACATCCATATTGAGGCCTGCTGAGTTGATTTCTTCTATGATCTGAAAACAGTTTGAAAATGAATTATGGAGCATAAGGAAAAATCCATACGTATCAGATTATCTATTATATTACCTGTGAAAGTGTTGGAACTTCCAATAATGGATCAAACTCATCGCAGTTATTCGGATCAATAGGAACACAGACACGACCTGAAAGCCAGAAGACCTATATTAAGAATTTGACCTCACAGACATATATCGAACTAAGTATGAACATGAGTCTAATCAACTGGTATGATATATTCAAGAAACAATGAAAGGGACCTGTGTTTGGATGGACACAGAAGGGTGCCTTAAGCAAATGGTTCATTTTTTTGGAGACCTGAAATAAAAGAAGGAACCATACAACTTAACCGTCACTAAACTTGTCAGGTCTCCATGATCTTGTATAGCCAGGAAAAATATTTACCATAATAGCACCGTGGGTTTAAGAAAAGGAATTGTAGCATAGAGTAGAACTAATCTCCAAATCAATTCGAGGATATATAAAGTTGAAGACAATTTCTTCTACGCATGTCCGCAGTGATAGAGCCTACAAAATTGGATACAGAATTGAAGATGAGCAAATCTAGGATTCAAGTTCATCAAGCTAATAGCTGAGTGAAAGAAGTCTCGGCTTTTCACAACACTAACATACATGTTTTCAGTTCGTATAAAACATCACACACCTTGTTGTTCTTTGATTGAAGCGTTTTAAGCTGCTCCCACCTTAAAAGGCTGGTGGCTTCTTCTGATGGAGATGATCTCGCAGAATTCTTCCACTCCCCTCTCAGCTCTGATTGAATATTTGTCATGAAGATGTAAATCATTGTAAATGACCAAACTGAGATTAGGACGTCGCTTATATACATCAACACTCTTTCATACCTTCATCTGTTATCATGCCAAGTATCTTCTCATATTTTTCTTTGCTTGAGAATATACTTTGAGTTGCATGTAACTCATCCTCAAAGAAATTCTTTAAAAAGTCCACACATGATCTCCTGAAAGCCCTGAAGAAATTAGTAGCAAAGACAGTGTTTTTGAAATCGGAAAGGCAGAGGTGATGGAGAAACCCGTACGCGAGAAACGGTTGATGAGAATGACCCATCAGATCGACATTTTTGGCACTGTTCTCATTTCCCTGTGTCACATGTTTATAATTAAACTCAAGAGAATTTCGCAATGCCAGAAACCACCAAAATACACCATAATTAGCTCTTCAGAACACTACCTTTATAAACACGGAAGTATTCAGAGACTGCTGATCTTTGTTCATCACAACCAGGATGTTTCCCATCTATAGATTTACAAACACAGACAAATATACAATCCACCAAACTTGTTATAAGCTTTCATTTGAGAAAAAAAAAAAAAAAAAACAGGAGTAAATACAAGTACCGTTCTCAACCCAATGTTGTCTTCCTTCTTTGCTATGTCATAATCACCAACCTACCAACACATGAAATTCTACTGTTATAACAACTTGTAAAACTACCAAATCAATACCAAGACGTAACAAAACTGATATTTTGGTGAGTAAAGTAAAAGACCTAATTAATATGTGGGTACTTGATGGGCAAGGACGAAACGATGGAAATAAAAGAAAATGAGTAAGTTATTTACCAGTGCAGAGAACGATGATCCAACTCCCAAAATAAAAGCAAATCATTATTGCCTTGTATGAGATCAAACTCCATAAGTTCCACGTGCATCGTAGTTGAAATTTAGATATTGCAAAGATTTATAAAAATAATATCGATTCCAAAAACAACATATTAGAATTGATTAAATAGCGTACCTTTACCATCACATGTGAAGTCACAAACCGACACGGAGTTAGAGTCACCAGATGGATTACTAAAAGTATAAACACACCAAAACAAAAAGTTTTTGAGGAGAAATTAGTGTATCTAATTTCCTATAACCACTATTAAACTTTTTCATAGAAGTCCAACACCACTAAGCTGCCCATAAGTTCTTCAACCATACAAATAGTGGAAATAAAACATAATAAAAGTGGTGAAATTCTCTGGGGTACCTCGTCACAGATGGCAAGTCAAAGGCATGTTTCATTGTTGCTTCTGTCAATAGTCCATTACCTTCACCTGACAGCTTTACAGGTAAAAACTTCCTTAAAACAAAGCGAATTACGGTTTATTATACGTATAATTTTGGAAAATCATTTACAGCAAAAAGATCTATTGTTCTTGATGACCAACCAGGGATGCAGGATGTACCATAATGTATACATAGGAAATAGAGATTAATTCACAATAATCGATCAAACCAAAAAATAAAAATACAAACGCACTGAAATTAAAACAAACACTAATAATACCTTACCATACTTTCTTTTTTACTTCAGCAACTCGTTTGTCTAAACTCGTTTTTATCGAAGCTTCACGATCGGTATACCTAAAACAGAAATCAAAAGATACAAAATCAGTAAAAAAAATAATAATAATTCGTAGAACAACCAACAAATTCATATAACAAAAAGCATAATCGCATGATAAGAAATTCGATAAGAAATATAAAAAACCCTAATATCAAAACTATTTATTGAACATAAAAATCTGGTTCGTAACTGTGGGGCAGAAACTCTGTATTTATAGCCTCAAACTTAGGGCAAACCTCCCATATTATCTTAAGAAATTTAACTTTTTTAATTAGAAACTAAATCAGAAAACTAACAAAAACGAATATTAACTACTAAGATATAGAATTATCCAAAAAATTAACAAATAAATTTAAGCTAAGATTCCATAATCCTTAAAGTCGAGACATTATGACATTCGTATCCCCAACGATTACACTATATTAAAAAAAAAATTAAGGGTGATTAAGACTAATCATCACGAAACACGATTAGACTTATATACCCCTAACAATTAAGAACAAAAAATTTCGAAGTCGAGGGTGTTTAGGACATTATTATAGAGATCAACACACGATTAGACTTATATACCCCTAATTACGAAGAAGAAGAAATTTCGAGAAGAACAATTCATTAAGGGTGTTTAGGACAAATCATTCTAACTTTTAACCACAGGCCTCCAATGCCCTAACTTTCAATATGGTGCGTTTCTACTTCTCAAATAATTATTGTAGAGATTTATTTATATCTGGGAAACTTAATTCAAATCCAAATTGAAAAACCAACTAAAATCGAATTTTTTTTTTTTGTGAATTAAAGATATATTTGACTAAAAAATCTGAATTCAATTGAAAATGATATCATGCCAAACTTTACATTAGAGATTAGGTTTTAGTTTGGCTATATTTATAAACCAAAAATTTGAAAAACAAAAAAAAAATTATGAAAACCGAATCTAAACTGAAACCCGGTGGCGAATGCAGAAATTTTATTTTACAAATAATCTGATGAACCATAATTTTAACCAACCTGATTCAACTGAAGCAATATAAAAACCAAAAAACAAAAACAAAAACAAAACAACGAAACAACAATCAACAAAATGAATTTAAAGAAGAAAAAAAAACATAATCTGCCGGCATGTCTTTCTTACACTTTGGAACAAATGGTGACCTCGAATAATCTGCTTGTCTGTAAGAATCTCACAACCGAAAAAAAGCTGACAAATTGAAGAACAAATAGAGGGGCGCTGATCGGAGGGGAACCGCGGCGATTTTTTCCAAATCGGTAAGAAAAATCGCTATCCGATTTTTTGTCCGCCTAGCCCGCCTAGACAGCGCCTAGCCCTTTTTTTTTTTTTTCTTTTTTTAATCTAAAATTCAAAACGTCTTACTTATATTCGTAATTTGTATAAAAATCATAAATTTGAAATTAAAATCTTGTTTCCATGTCTTTAATGCAATTTTAAAAACAATATTATATAAAAATTTTAATTATAATAGATTAATATGTTTTTTAAACATTATATAGCCCTAAAACTAATCCCCGATTGATCCCCGTGTAATCTCCGATTTTCTTCCTAGGCACTAGGCGCACCCTCACCAATAGTTTCTCTTCAGCATCTGTGAATTTGGTGTAGAAAGTTGTCGTCTTTAAACGACGAGAATTTCTTAAAAATTATATCTGTAACATAAAAGTTAATCAGTAGTAGTAGCTCCTAAATGACAAAGTCTACGAATCTGATGTGCCCCATGACTATTAATAACCGCATTACCTAAGTTCTGTTTCTTTACCTCTGTTTAGTAACAGAACAACATAGTACATTATCCGAATTAACGATAAAAAATTTAATCATTTGGTTGATGATGTTTTGCCACATAATCTTCTTTAAATATATACAACAGCAATCAGACTGATCTCCTCATGCTTACCAGTTCCCGGTTATCGCAGTGTATTATTTGTTCTGTTCTTTCTTAAAACCAAAACGTTGGATTGGTACCTGTTTGGAGTGGATTATAACTAGAGAGAAGCTGAACCAACACCCTGAAAAACAGAGTAAAATGATAGACCAAAGCCGATTCAATGATTGCATCTCAAATCTCACTCAGTTCAGGTACACGCAAACAAACACTCTTGGTTTCTAATAATGTTACAGAGACAAGAAATTGGAAACAGATAAGCTAGGATCAGAACAGTGGAGATTTTAGAGTTTTTTGTTTAGTGCTTTGTGATTCTTTCAAGGACTTGGAAGTAGTCGGGGAAGGTTTTCCTGGTGCAACCAGGATCATTGATCGTGATTGGAACATCAGCACAAGCTGCAAGAGAGAATGCCATTGCCATTCTATGATCATCATATGTATCAATCTCTGTCGGTTTCACCTTTTTGGGCGGAGTTATCACACAATAATCTGAACCTTCTTCCACTGTAGCTCCCAGCTGAACACAAAACCCGCAAAATTTATGAGCAAATTACTTAGAATACAGAAAGAGAGAGAAAGAGAAGAAGAATTTTACTTTTCTAAGCTCTGTGCAAATGGCAATCATCCTTTCTGTCTCCTTTACTCTCCAGCTAGCCACTATATTGACCAAATAGAATTAAGTGACCATGAATCTTCAGAAACCTTAAATTATAAGAGAGAGCTTTTTACTTACCATCTCTAATGGTGGTTGGACCGTCAGCAAAGAGAGCAACGACGGCAAGAGTCATTGCTACATCAGGCATTTTGTTCATGTTGACATCAATAGCCCGCAAGTGTCTCATTCCAAAAGCATCTCTAGATGGTCCTGTCACAGTCACACTGTTCTCTGTCCAGGACACTTTACATCCCATTTTCTCAAGAACCTCGGCAAATTTCACATCTCCCTAGAGATTCATCACAAAAATTGAACTTAGATTCTTGCGAATACGTTACATACAACTTGTCAAAGCCTTAAAAAGATGAAATTTTGACCTTAACGAATTTCACTAAACTTAACAGCCTCTTTGATGATTCAGTATACAAATATTACCTGCAAGCTGGTCGTTCCACAACCTTCAACAGTGACAGTCTCACCGGTAATGGCAGCACCAGCCAAGAAATAACTAGCACTAGAAGCATCACCTTCTACATACGCATTACCCGGAGACCTGAATCATTTCACCATTTTAGTCATTATATTGTCAATCTAAGGTATGTGATTTCAGAAAAGGAAGAAAAGAATCAGTCTTACTTGTATTTTTGCCCGCCCTTGACAAAGAAACGATCCCAGCTATCACTATGCTCGGCACTAACCCCGAAACGTTCCATCAACTTCAATGTCATTTCAACATATGGAACAGAAATCAATTTATCGACTATCTCAATCTCGACGTCTCCAAGAGCTAAGGGAGCAGCCATGAGCAGAGCAGTCAAGTACTGACTACTAATTGATCCAGAAAGCTTCACCTGCAAATGCAAAACATGTCCGATGTGTCAATCAAGAAACCATACAAGGAAAAAGGTAATCGAGAAAGAAAAGTAATTCCTAACTGAGACAAAAACAAATCTCACTACCAAAATGGAATCTGTCAAGCTAAGGCTATGAAGAACACACATTTCTGCAAGTGTTAATAAAGTAAGTGTCGGGATTACAAATCACACATGCCATTCGCAAGATCTCACCTTTCCACCGGGAAGGCCACCATTAGCGTTGACACGAACAGGAGGGCAGTTAGTTCCAAGAGTACATTCAACATCAGCACCAAGCTGCTTAAGACCAACAACCAAATGCCCTATAGGTCTTTCTCTCATCCGAGGCACCCCATCAAGCACATAACTGGAATAAACCAATCAAAACAAAAATCAACACAAACTCCATTTTGGAAACATCAAAAACTAAGAAGCATCAACTCCTTTAATCTACCTCGCGTTGCCACCTGCAGCAGTAACTGCAGCTGTAAGTGGACGCATCGCGGTTCCTGCATTTCCGAGGTAAAGTTCGATATCACTCTTGGAATCTATAGAAGCTGGGAATATCCCGCCACATCCTTCAACTACTGCACGATTGTTTTCACTATCAGTTTCCACATTAAGCCCCAATTTCTTCAACGCATCAAGCATGTAATTGATGTCATCACTGTTCAACAAGTTGTCCACTAGAGTAGTTCCCTACAGTAGTTCCAGAAAAGAATGCAGATTTGTGAGCAGTAACGCTAAAACAACGAAATCGAGTATGACATACCTCAGATAGAGCAGCGAGAAGCAGAATCCGATTAGAGAGAGACTTGGAGCCAGGAAGCTTAATCAGACCCGAGATTTCTCTAATGGGTTGAAGCACAATCTCCGACGATTTCTCCGCCGTGGAAACAGAAGCCATAACCTTCACAGGACGAATCTCAGAACCATTTAGCATCATACCACTCTTCTTCTCAGAACTTCCAGAAGCTTGTATCTCTGCCAATTTTAAAAACCAAATTTCAAAACTCTTAAAGCTTAAAACTTTCAATATCTCCTTGTTGTTCTAATGGAAATGTGAATCAATTCAATCAACCAGAACTGCTCTAAAGTTTCAAATTACACATCTTTCTTCTATATGCAAACGCTTGAATCTAAAATTTTCGAAAATAATCAGAGAGAGAACTCACGAAAGTTCTTCCTGGTTTGGGTACGGATAGAGATCTGAACGGCCGGAGAGGAGAGACGACGGAGCTCCGAGGGAAGAGAAGAAGAACCTGGTTTGGTGGATCCGAGAATGGATTTGGAAGTAAGAGAAGACGCCATGATCAGGACTCGAAGGCAAAAGAGAGGATTGAGAAAGGTTTAAGGGAGAGAAATTGGAGTTGGTGGCAAATGGCTTTTGTGGTCTTCTTCTTCTCTTCTTCGTTGTGCAAAATGGAGGCACAGATTGCAAAGGATTAATAATCCGTTGGTTGGCCCCCTGTGATCAAATCATTCTCTACTTAGCCCCCGATATAAAAAAAACTTGTGTTTAATTAATTATTTTAATTCAGAAAATAGTAAAAGACAAATAAAATTGGGTTTTTTGATTTATTTACTGATCCAACCTGATTTTGGATCTAGATCCACATATTTTGGGTCAGGTTTCAGATCTTTTAATTCTCAAATTGAGAAACACAAACATTAACTCCCTGACGCCATTCTTTCATCTTCTTCGTTTTCTCTCTATCAAAGACTGTGAATCTCCGAATCTCTCTAACCCTAAATCTTTCGATCTCATTTCATCTCCTTCTTCTTCTCTCTTCTCTCGATACTCTTTCGTCTTCTTCTTCTTCCCTCGTCACTCATTTCTATTGATCCAAAGATCGTCCTCTCTCTTCTTCTCCGTGAAATCCACCGTGAAATCGAAGAATCCGCCGTGAGAACTCCGGTGTGTCATCTCTTGGTAAGATTTCATTAGTTAGATCCCTAATTTCGATTGATTGTGTTGGGTTTAATTAGGTTTTGATTTGTTCCGATTTCTTCTTCTCCGTGAAGGTTTGATATGTAGTTCTCTTTGATTTTGTCTGAAACAGATGCATTTTTTATGGAATTTCATTTGTTAAGATCCCTAATTTCGATTGATTGTGTTGGGTTTAATTAGGTTTTGATTTCTTCCGAGAACTTCTCCTCTTCTTTGTGAGGGTTTTACAATTTGGATTTGAATTACAATTCGGATTTGAAATTGCCTCTGTTAATAGCCATTGTGACTAGTTGTATGATTACAAATCGGATTTGATGAATTTATTCCGTATAGATGGTTTATGAAATGAGTTAAAAATAAAGATTATGAAATTGTTTATCCTTGGAATATTTGATATTGAATATCATGTGTTGTTGCAGGAACTAAGGAGAATGACTACTACTAGAGGAGGATGATCTAGTTCTAGAAGGGAAAGATTATCTTCTCCTAGAGATCCAAAAGACTAAAGCAATCTGCTCCAAACCAATCAGAGCAAAGAAGGAGGAAGAGAAGGAAAAGGCGTGTGAATTGGAGCTATAGAAGATGAGGGAATTGGAGCAAGAGAAGGCAAGGGAATTGAGCAAGTGAAGGCGAGACATGAAAAGATTGTGAAGAAGTATTGGTGGTTGAGTTATTAGATTCAATTGTTTTCTGATTTTGATGTATGTATTTAGGCGAGGCAACATGTTTCTGATTTTGATGTATAAATCTAAGTGTTTAGGTACAACTGGTACGATCAGGTACAACTATGTTTCTGGATTTATGTTTTTTGGTTAAAAAAATTATCTAATTATGTATGTATCTTTGAATCTGAATCTTAAAATTTTTATGTATTGAATATAATCTAAGGGTTTTGAACCCAAAAAAAAAATCTTAAGTTTCCAAAAAATGAGACAAATATGTAGGTTTGTAAGGGTTTTGATTAAATAAAAAAAAAACAGTGAAATATCTGAAAGAATCTAAAGATATCTCAAAATATCTAAAAAGATATGACAAATAGCTTACCTCGCGCCGTTATTTTGAAAAATATAATTAAAAAATAGCACAAATTTGTACATAGTTGTACAGTTGTACCCGGTTGCACATTTTTGCTCATAGTTGTACAATATAGAGAATTTAGTAAATCTAGTTGTTATCAACTCTAATTTAATTTTTGTGGGTGGAACCAATGGTATTGCCTCATAACAATACCATTACTTTGTATTTGTATATTTATATTTAACAAAATACAAGTATTTCAAAAATTTATAAAATTTTAGTTCAAAACTACAAAGTAACCATGAAAGTATAAGGTTGTTAGTGTATGAATGTGGGATTTAGTGTAAGAATTTCATTATTTTAGAAAAATCTAAATTTTTTTGTCAAAAACTTGTTGTGTAGTTTCTTTACCATCGTGTATGCATTTTTTAGGTTTTTTCAATTTGGTTTTAATTTTTCATATTATAAAATTGGCTAAGACAATAGACCTTAGTTGTACTTGTTGTACTTAGTTGTACCAAGACTGAACAACTTAATTTGCACAGATACGACAAGGAAATCAACCATAGTTGTACCTGCTAAAACTTAGTTGTACACACAGAACATATAAGTTTCACAAACAAAACCAATACAAACAACATCGTTTCTTAAATTAACCTAATAAATAGCACTGAGAAATCAACCTTGGTCACCCGCATCGTCTCCATCAACGTCACCATCATTGGTAAACCACTCGCCCAAACTGCTCGATCCATGCGACCTCTTCTTACGTCCTCTTCCAGAAGAAGAAGAAGAAGAAGAAGAAGAAGAAGAAGAAGAAGAAGAAGAAGAAGAAGAAGAAGAAGAAGAAGAAGAAGAAGAAGAAGAAGAAGAAGAAGAAGAAGAAGAAGAAGAAGAAGAAGAAGAAGAAGAAGAAGAAGAAGAAGAAGAAGAAGAAGAAGAAGAAGAAGATAAAGTTTAGGTTGACTTTTTGACAAAATAGTGAAGTTTAGTTTAACTTGGCCATTTCGGGCATCCCGTTAACCAGACGTTAACGGTGTTAAATTTTAAAGTTTAGGTTGACTTTTTGACAAAATAGTGAAGTTTAGTTTAACTTGGCCATTTCGGGCATCCCGTTAACCAGACGTTAACGGTGTTAAATTTTCGTTAGATTTCTCCGTTGAGTCAAAACGACGTCGTTTTGAAACTCTGAAACGACGTCGTTTCATTAGAAAATAAGATGGAAAAACTGCATCTGTCAGGAATCGAACAGCTGACCTACTGGACTAATGAGAGGTGCTCAACCGTTGCGCTACGATAACATTTTGGTATTGTATCAAACCGAACATATATATACTAACAAATAACTATATACAATTAATTCAAACAATATACAATTTATTAACAATAACAGAACTAAAAAACAATAACCAAACATATACAAATATTAAATATACTTCCATAAATATATATTTTGAAATTTTTACAATCCTATAATCCTATAATTTATACAATCTTTAATCCTATATTTATGTGAGAAGAATTGCAATTTATACAATCGTGAGAAGAATTGCTGTTCGATTCCCGACAAATGCAGTTTTTCCATCTTATTTTCTAATGAAACGATGTCGTTTTAGAATTACAAAACGACGTGGGTTGGACTCAACGGAGAGTTCTAACGGAAATTTAACACCGTTATCGTTTGGTTAGCGGAAATTTAACGGCATGGCCGAAATGTCTAAGTCAAACTAAACTTCACTATTTTGTCAAAAAGTCAACCTAAACTTCATGATTTAAATGACATTTCGAAAGTTTATGCTTTTTTCGTCCCAAATTTGAAAGTTTGCGAACTTTTTGACATATTTCCCAATATACATGTAGGAACTTTTTTTTTTTTTATAAGTACATGTAGGAACTTGGAAGTGAAGAAACAGAAAACTCTATTTCTTGATACTAAGAAAATCTACATATATTTAGACAACAAAACAAAAAAAAATAATTTCTCTTATTTTCATTTTTATATCCTATTTAAAACAAAATAAAATATCAACCTCTACAATCTACGTGGCAGTCCATAGTTATGGAATGTCCTAATCATCCCATCCAAGCTCGCCGTCACGATCACCAGTCTCCACGGGATGGTATTATCGTAAATTCCTACATCAGAACTACTCATCAAGAGCTTCTCCACCGGCCACGTGGCGGTAACACGGCAGGAACGAGACAATTTCCCGGAGCTCTGTATTTGTCTCAGAGCTCGCCGTGATTCTTCATCATCTCCGGCCGTTTTCGATACTTTTGCTCCCGGTGGAGTCCAAGCCGCCGCCGCGGAAACACCCGGCGAATGAAAATACTCGAAAGAACGCGACGATTTCGCGCCTTTCCTCGACGGAAAACCATCGTTGTTCCAAAGATAAACTCCGAGACCTCGTCGGACTGATAAAATATGTTTTCCGGTGGAAGAAACAAACGACGCCGACGATTGTTTCCCATATTTCGATGGAGCTGAAATATAAAAATTTCAAAAAAAAAAAATCAAAACACAAATTTCAAGAATTGTAAAAACACGACTCAAAGATTCAAAGTTTCTACCTTTAAATTTGTGAAAGATTTGTGTTTTATTAAATATTCGAACTTTCGACTCGTCGGTAGATACCATAAGTTTCTCCGAGCTTCCAGGACAAAACTCCACGGCGGTGATGTTATTCCGTCCCCGGCTAAGAATCTGCTCATCCATTATCACATCGTTACCTGAGATTTGATAGAACCTACAGTTCCCAGTGATGCAACCAACGACAAACCCCTGAAGCAAAACAGAGCAAAGTTAAGGTTTTTAGAAACCGTAATGATGATCTTTCGAGTAAAGAAGAGACAGAGAATGTCAAATTACATTTCCGTTTGGTTGGTAACAGATTGCAGAAATGGAATCACGAACATCGGTCCACGCGACGACTCTCTCTTCCGATAAACCCCAGATTCGAGCTTTTCCATCGATAGATCCACTTAAGAAGTTGTTCTTATTCACAGGATTGAATTCAACGCAAGTCACTGTATTAGAAAGACAAAAGCAACAACAGGATTGTTAACAAACGTTTTTGCAAAGATTTCAGAACAGCTTGAGATGAAAAACAAGTTACCATAGTTGTTATGATGGAAGACATGAAGACATTGATCACAACCAATTCTCCATAACCGGGCTGTCTTGTCTTTAGAAGCTGAAAGAAGCAACTGCAAACCAAAACACCAAAGACAGACTCATAAGCAATGGATCAAGAAATCGAAAACACAAGAAAAAAAAACTAACTAAAACTCACATTTGAGTCTGACCATGCTAAGTCCAAAACATCTCCGGTGTGACCATAAAGTTCTTGAAACGGTGTTCTTCAATATGAAAAGCTTTCTGAGGAAAGATAACCAATGCTTCTTGTTGGTTATTTGGTTCTTGTTGTCGCATAAAAGAGGCGAGTAGAGAATCGGATAGCGTGATTCGCCATATCTTTACAACTCCATCTTCGCCTCCGGTTGCTAAGAACTTACCATCAGGACTAAACTTCAATACCCAAATTTTCCCTTTGTGTCCATTAATCTTTTGCACCATGTAAGCTGCAGATAACTCTACATGACTCTTCTTATTAGTCTTCACTTTCACTTTACTCATCGTCGCTTCACTTGATTTGTATTTGAAATCTTTATCCTTCACTCCTACAAAGCAATTGAAAAACCATTTCTTCGCGCTTTTCTTGCTGAAACTCCGTGATGGACTCGAACAAACATCGGTTGAGTTTTCTTCTGACTCATCATCATCCTCTCCTTCTAGTTCCTCATCAGACATCGAAGTGGTTGATCCATAATTCTCCTCTCTAACACAACACTGCAATTCACTATCACAGAGATATGAATCTGAAGAAGAACTAGTAGTAACCTCATCGCTGTAATCACTTATCATCCTCTCCAAATACATAGACTCAAATCTCTCTTCTAATAAACCCATTTTCTTGAGAAACCGTACACGACGTTCCTCAACACTAACAGGCTCACCTGACCAAACTTGAAACTCTGCTTCTTCTTCTTCTTCTTTTACTTGTTCACCAATAGACAAAACATCAGATGAATCAAAGAACACATCATCAACAACTTCACTTCTTTCAACACTCATCATTTCAATCACAACTTGAACAAAAACTGAAAAGCTTTCTTCTTGTAGCCTCAACGCGGTTCACGGACCGTAAATCCCTCAAATGTTTAAAACCTAACAAAAAGTGTGAAACCAAATCTTCAATTAGTAAAACAACAAAAAAAACTAACCCGACTCAATTCTCTGAACTTACATTAATCACAAAATATGAAAAAACCCCAAATTTCTTTATCTAATCGATTAAACAAAAAAGACGGTTCCTGAAACTCAGCAAGTGAATAGAATAATCAAAATTTCTGGATAAAAGTGTGTACCTTTGTCTTCGTAAGAAGCAATGACTCAACAAAGAAGTCAAATTCTGATAGCCGACGAGGAATTGGGTCTCGGGTTTGATTTGATTTTCAAGTTTCTTCTCCGTGTGAGTGAGAGGAAGATATAAAAATAAGACAGAACATTCACGTTATGTCTCAGAGTGAGTGGTTGGGTTCATCAATGGCGGCCCAATGAGAATCTCTGAGATCTTTTTGACGGCGAAGTGGCCGCGATTCAGGAGACAGGAGACAATTAAAACTTTCTTACTCCCGACCAATCTCTCAGACTCTCTTTTACTGTGTTTTTGTTTTCGTGCTTTTTGGGCTTATGTCTCTCTGCAACAACGGCGATTTAAAAAAAGAAGAAAAAAGAGTTAAAAACTTTTTGGATCAGAATCATGTTTAGTGTGCAGAACTAACGAGAAGACACGACAAAACCCAGATTAAGTAATTACCCTTGAATTTCGAAAATTCTTTCTGACAATAATTTTTTTTAGCTATTTATATACAAAAATACACAAACTTTGGGGGTATTATTTTCTTGAATGCACTTTAATGGAGTATCTTCTTAAAATACTTTTTTCGAAATAATTGGCAAATTACTAACTTAAATTTTTAACATTTATGATTATCTTTGCGTAAGACAGTGAATTAATTGGCTCCGTTTGTGTAAATTTACCGTGGTATAAAAGACATTTCATTTTCTCAGAAGATTCCTTCCTTTATGATCTCCTGACGTGGTTTCGTCCTATTTTAAACAAATGAATAAATATGCTTTTTCTACTTGTTTTATTTTTCCATGTAATAATTTGTAATCTTTATATTCTTATAAAATGAAATTTCATAATTCTAGTATTCTACCAATAATGAAAAAAATTCTATTGATGACAAAAAAAATGAAATAAACTCTATTGTGTATTTTCTTATCTGGATAGAATTCCAATAATACTAGTATTTATTTAAATCCTGCCACAAATTAGGGAGATTTTAGGACCAAATCATCATATATTCTGCGAGTCTGCGACCATTAAAATTGCTACATTTGGGGCAAGATTTTATCCAGAATGTAACAAGACTTGGAGAGTTCTAATTTTAGTTTTGACCCAAAAAAAAAAGTTTAAAATTTTAGTTTTGAAAAAATCAGATTTTGTGGTTTGTTTTAATGGGTGTTCAGAAACGAAAAATTGTATACAAACTTCAGTTATAAAGTTTTCATATTAATTATAATGAATAATAATAAGAAACTAGGATCGGACCCGCGGTCCACCGCGGGAGAATATTGATTTACATACATTGATTTTAATATTGTGCGTGTTTTTAGTAGAACAAATCGTGTAATGTACTTATAAATATTCCTAATAACAAATTATAAAGAAAATATTAAATTGTTTATAATTAAACCAATCGTATTAATTATGATTTACAAAATGGAATTTTGTGTTTTAGAATTCAAAAAATAGACGAATCATGGGAATTAAAGCAGTCAAAATAGGTCAAAAACCGTGGGTCGAGCCCAAATCATCTCACTATAGGCCAGATTTGGGAAAATATATTAAACCCGCAAATAAGCGGGCCACATGGATTGATTCGCAGTGGGTCATCGGTTTTCGTCCGGGGGTTGGCGGATCAACCCGCATGATAGTATTTATTGATAAAAATATAATTTATTCAACATGTGGTAGTTTAAAAAACTTTTAATAAATGAAATTATAATATTTATAAATATAATGATATATAAGATTATTTTCTCTAAAAACATTTTAATTTATTTATTTAGTAGAATTTTAAATTTTGGTTACTCTAAAATTATTTAAACAAAATCCACGGATAACTCCGCAAATCAGCATACATTCGCGCGACGGGGTTGTGTTTCATATATGCTACCCGCGGGTCGTGCAGACAGACTATCTACATGCCAAACTATATTTTGCCTATTGCAAAACAGGCTTAACGGGACGAATCAACTCGTTTTGACAGCTCTAATGGAAATATTATTTAGTCAAACAACTCAATGGAGTTTGGACATAGGAATTATAGAATATGTATCTTATTTGTTAGATGAGAGATTGAAAGGTGAAATATAATGATTAAAAATAATTAATATTTTTCATGATGCACAAAATTTAATAAATATTTATCATTTTGTTGAATAATTCTAAAAATCATATTCAAGAAATCTTTATAATTTGAAAATTAAACTTCTTTGGTAAACTATAAGTATGATTGTATGAAAATACCATAATTTCGATTTAATCTAATTAAATTAAAATTAGTTACATAGATTTCATATCTATTTAATTTACACGACCAAAATAAAAATATCTATTTATTTAATTTATAAAATAGATGGGTTAGTTGTGATAAAAATTTTAGAAATCTATAGAAGCAAGTAAGATATCTTTTAATTAATGATAACTGGCTAAAATAAGCAAAATTAATGAGAAAAACGTTAATTGTTATGGAATTAGTTCCAAAAGTATATGAACAAATATATTATACGTAATTAATGTATAATATTGTTCGGAATATGATTTTATAATTAGTTACCATAAGTACAATCAAAATTTTATTTGATTTCCATAAACATTTGATTTTAGTTCGATTTTTCATTATTAATTCGAATTTATATTCTAAAAAAATTTCAAAGATCCGATTTCAGAATTTCGGGTCAATTTTCTGATTTTGACCCGACCCATTTATATTTGTACTTCTCTTTTAATAGTATAGAGATGGTATTATATGTAGTAGTTGATACTAAATATGTGGTCGCATTGGTAGTCACTAAATTAGAGGTGGGTTGTAGTTATATCAACAACCAATGCGTTTTACCATACATTCATCAGTAAATTTTTGTTTATTACTTGTTGTAAATTAATAATATGATTTTATTCTTCATGTATACATTTATGGGGCATTTAGCTCAATAACCAATTTGGATAAAAGAATTAAGAATATAGCACCATAATTCAAATAACTAAGAAACTAACATAAAGGATGGGTAAAATTACATTTTTAGGGTTCATTTAGAGAAGGAGAGGAAGAGAAGGGCTTACACACGTGGTGAGTTGCATGAGAGAGAAATTCAATTTATTTATTTTATTCATTATTTTCTTTTTACCCCTTTTAAAGTTTAACTCATATTTATGTTTATAGATATTAATTTAAGTTCATGATTCTTTAAAAATAAAAAACTAGATTTTTTTTTGTATATAACATGATTTGAATCTTTAAAATTAGATACAAACTTATGAAGAAATTAAAAAAGTATTCTAAATTCAATATTTTTGATTAAAAAGATCGCATAATATGAAATAGAAAATAGTATAGAATGAAATAACTCATGAACCTTAGAAATTTTGTGTTAAACGTATAACAAAAAAAGAACACTATACCTTATACCATACAACATAAGGAACCCAAACGATCATGTTAAATACACGAAAAAAAGAACGATATACTTTAAAAGATACTCAACATTTTGAGTTAAACACATGCCAAATAAAGAATGATATACCCTAAAAGATACAATATAAGGAACCCAAACTACCGAGTTAAACGCACACTAAAATTAGATTATACAAATGCATAAATGAAATAGTATAGAATTAAATGAAATAGTATGGAATGAGGCATGGTGGTGGTGGTGAAAGTAACGATATAGTGGTAATAGTGGTGGTTACAATGATCGTGGTAGTTAAGACGTGGTGATATTGATGGTGGTGGGATTACGGTGATCGCAATGGTTATGGTTGCGGGATAATAGTGGTGGTTGTGGTGGTGGTGGTGGGATAATAGTGTTGGTTGCGGTAATAATGACGATAACCGCAAGAGATAAAACATAAACGACACAAACGACCAAACTAAACGGACGTCGAAAAAAAAACACTAAACCTTAGTAGATACAACATTGGCAACCCAAGCAACCGAGGTAAACCATGGCGGTGATATTGACTGTGTTAATGGTGATGATGGTGGTGACGATAGCGGTGGTGGTGGTGTCGATGATGGTTGTGGTGGCACTAACGGTGATAATGATGAAGGTGGTAGTGTTCTCGATGTTGGTGGTGGCGGTGACAATAATAGTGGTGACGTGGTGGTGGAGGTGATGACTAAATAATATATGTGATAGGTATATTGTGGGTTTCATATAATTGTATTATATATATATATTGTTACAGTAGAATAGAAAGAGAATAAGAGAGGCAAGGATTAAAAAAATAAAAAAAAAAAAAAAAAAAGAAGAAAAGACAAAAAGAAATTGTGTATCATGGCAACATGGGCAAACATGTCATTATTATAGATTACACAGAGAATATTGTACTCTTATTGTTAGAATAGCTAGTTAGTTAATTAAAATTTTTTTTTTTGGTTATACACTCAAATTTCCCTACATTTATCTATGTAATGGCAATGAGAAAATGACAGTTTTTTTTTTTTGGTGTCTAGAGGTGTATTATAGGGGTGTCAAAATGGGTCAAGATTCATGGGTCAACCCAACTCAACTCAACCTATGAATTCTAATGAGTTGAAAATTTTGACTCAAATGAGTTGATGAATCAAATGCGTTGGGTTGTAATGGGTCAATGGTTTCAATGGTTTACCCATTTAACCCATCAATTTTTGTTAAATTGAATCAAACCAATTCAAATCTCTTAACCGATTTTAATTTGAGTCTAACCAAAACTTCTAAACCGATTGAATATAGTCTTTAATTTTCCCGCCAAATATGTGAATAACCATTTCCCCATCAAAATATAAATTCCTGATTTTTCCGTCAAAAACGTAAATCCGCAATTTTCCAGCCAAAAACGTAAATCCGTGATTTTCCCGCCAAAATTTTTTATAATTTTTAACCAAAAACGAAAATATGTAATTTTCCCGCCAAAAACGTAAATCCATGATTTTCCCGCCAAAAAACGAGAATGTGTTATTTTTCCATCAAAAACGTAAATCCGTGATTTTTTCGCCAAATAATAGTGATGTTGATGATGATTATTATTATTATTATTATTATTATTATATTTTAATTATTAATTTATTTATTACATTAGTAGTTTTATGGATCAACCCATTTAACCTTTTAACCCATCAAATTAAATGAGTTAATGGGTTGACTCAACTCATTTGCTAACTGCGTTGAGTCAACCCATGAACTCATTTAACTCTAAACTCATTGGGTAATGAGTTGAGTTGAGTTGGGTTAACCATTTTGACACCCCTAGGTGTATACAACAAATTAAAGAGGTTTGTATTCTGACTATATATACACAGTGCCAGCTCAAATAGGAGGCGAGCGGTGCAACGGCTAGGGGTCCAATCTCGTGCTCCAATAATTAAGGGGCCCATTTTAATTTTTTTTTTT